AGACACGTCCCCACCTTTGCAGGATTTTGCAAAAGCGAGGGGGGAGGGCGCATCGCCGCGCGGAGAGGGCTGGGCACAGGGCACAGGGGATCTCTCTCGCATAGGATATGCACTCGGCGGCACGAGGGCAAGGCTGGGCGTCCTATGTTTGTGCTCCCCCCCGGACCCCTCGCTCTCGGGCACTAACCATCTGACCACTCATCGACGGGGCTTGGCGAGCGGCCGCGCTGCGGGGCAGGGCTGGTGAGAATGGGCTCTGGCCACTCGCCCGTGCGGTTGTAACCCCGCATCTGTCGGACAGAGGCCTCGACCGCCCCTCGCGGCAAGCTCTCGAGCATCTCGAGCAGCTCGCCCGCCGCCATCGCCGCCTCGAACTGCTCCCTCATGCCGAGCGCGCCGCATACCCTGCGGACCGCCTCCTGCTGCACCTCGTCCGGCGTATCGGTTTCATAGCCGGACGAGTCAGCGGAGGCGGCCCGCTTGGCGGGCGGAGAGTCGGGCGACGGCGAGCGCGACTGGCGCGAGGGCCCGCTGCCGCGCGCGGACAGCGCGTTCTTGTCAACGAGACGGGGTCCAGCATCGGCACGGCCCCTGGCACCGCGGCCCTTGCCGCGCTGCTGCTGCCCACGCTTCCTGCCCGGGTTAGGGACAGTGAAGGAGCAGCCGCGCACTCCGCCGCCGCTGGGCGGCGGCGGCACGCGCGCGGCGGCGGCCGGGCCCAGCGCCGTCCAGAGCTGCACGGACAGTCGTTTCCGGAGTTTTATTCGCCGATGGTGATACTCGCGACAGCCGCCCTGGTCGTTGTCCAGGGCGTCGCGGCGCTGCGGCTCCGCGCCCCGCTGCCCGCGCTCGCGCCGCGGACCGCCCTCCGCGCCGGCGCCGTCTCGCTCTCGGATCCGCCGCCCGAGCCGGTGCTTGTGTCCTCGCCCACGCCCGGCGCTGAGCCCGTGCCTGTGGGCGAGGGCGACGCGGTGCTGTGCAAGGACCAGGCGTCGCAGGCGTGGTGGCGCGCGACGGTGCGGCAGACGCGCGGCGACCAGCTCCTCGTCCACTACATGGGCTGCGACGACGCGTGGGACGAGTGGTTTGACGCGTCGTCGCCCGACATATGCGCGGTCGACGCGCAGGAGGCGGCGCGCGGCGCGTTCCAGAGCGAGGAGGCGGAGCTCGAGCTCGAGGGCATGGGGGACGAGGAGATCCTCGAGGCCTACCGCGCGCAAAAGTGGGCCAACAATGCGCGCTGGCAGCTCGCGACCTTCGCGCAAGCGCAGCTCGGCGAGTGGAAGGGCAGCTGCGTCGCCTACGAGCCCTCGGGCCCGCCT